TGCCACTTAATGCCATTCTTTGTCATTTTTAGAAAACCAATGCTCAATGGCGAATAGCATTTATACTTTATGCTTGTTGTTATTTTATATCAGGATTTGCTTTTCTTCTTTTGGCTAAAGGTGAAACACAATCCTGGGCGAGGAGAAAGGAAAATGGCAATGTAAATGGTGATGGTAAAAATAAACGTTAAATGTCGTTAAATAAATTTAAATCTAATTCTAAGGTGCACGCAACTAAAACTTCAAGCTGAATTATTTTTCTAGTTAAGTCATACATGGTTGGATACGGCGCGATGAGCTGAATAAGGAAAAGTGGTTCTTAACTTTTGCAAAAATGTTTTACAATCGAGAAATTTGAAAAACTTGAAAGTCCTATTTTTTTCAAAAGAGCGTTAATTTTCAATAAATTCGATTTTTCTCCATTCAGACTCCTTTTCAACCTTTCAAACATTTATTTTTTAGATTCAGCATTAAAACTGTCTTTTACGTTCTATACCGTTGAGTCACAGCAGATATATATACAATTAAAAATGAAAATCGGATGGCTCTTTATGTAGCTCCACATTCGGAATTTAGAGATGAAGATGAAGTTTTAATTTTACCATATTCATCATTTCAAATAACAAAAATAATAAAAGATAACTATCGAAGACGAATTGTTGTATGGCACTTTACTTTCAATAATAGTCAAGATGTATCTGACTATTTTCAGAGGGTTACCGGAATTTCGCCACTGGGACATTTTTCCTTGGCGAATGTCATGTGAACACACATCCTCATTCTCAAATCAACGCTCACAATATAGTTCCAATTAATAGTTAATTTGGCAAGTTAAGGAGATGGAACAAAGAATGTTGCAGTGATTTCGAAAGAAATTTCTCCTCACTTTTGGTTTCGAAGAATAGTGAAATTTATCCAAGAAGGAAGTTGATTAAAGCGTGACGGAAAAATAAAGAGTTTTGGAGCAGTCTGAAAATACAACAACACGTGTGTGAGGAATTCTTTATGTAACACTCAGATTTCTCTATTTAATGAAATAATAGCTTTCCAAAGAATGCTCAACCAACCTAATTCAACACGTTTTGCCTTCTGGAAACCGATCCTTAATAGCAGGACTAAACGTGTAATAACATTAAAAAGACAATATGTCCATTTGACTACAGCACCAAACTATATGCACCTTGATACAATATTACAACTCAAAGTTCAATCTATCATTTAACGTAAACATAATGTTGAAAACTGAGATATCATTCTGGTTTAGTTTTGTATATCAGTTTCTATTTCCTGGTCATTTTTGCACTTTAGTAGGCAGTAGAGATGTGCAGGGCGCCCTTACCCTACCCTGCAGGGTAGGGTAGGGCCAGGGCTCGAAGGTCACCTGAAGCAACAGAGTAGAGTAGGGCCAGGGCTCCGGTGTCACAGGGTAGGGTAGGGGGAGGGTACAACAACAGCTCAAGACGTCTGTAAGATTTGATCTTTAATAACACCAATTAGTTTTGCTTTACAAAAGAGAAGCTAAAAGAACAGAAGCTAAATAAGAAGTTTTAATTTCAATATTTAAAAGATGGTCAACCTTATTAGTTGTTCTTTGGTGAACATACATTCCTTTAACATCATCTTTCACATTTGATAATATTTTTAAATACTTGTTATGTATGTGACATAAGATTTTTTCAAATACTTCTCTCTTAGTGACGTACGTTATCAATATTCATTTTTTCAAACAATAGATTTTTAGAAGATTTTGTAATAAAACAAAATGGCTGTTTGTTATCTAATCCGAGATGAAAAGTATCTAAAGCGTTCTCTAGAGCCAAATCCGCAATTCAGTATAATGAGTCCAAAAAATGTGTGTACGATTTGGATCACAAAGCTTAGTGGTATTTCTTAATAAATTTTCCAAGGGGGTAAAAGCACCACTTCACCACTTCATTTCACTTCACTTCACTGCTGAAACGGCGCCCCTGAGGGGGGAGGGAAGCAAGGGAGGAAAAGTACCATTTTACCACTTCCGCTTAACTTGAAGTGAACTTGAAGTGATTTTTTATTGTTTCGACCGTTTCAGCAGCGTTTTACCTAGGTGAAGTGAAGTGAAATGAAGTGGTGAAGTGGTGCTTTTTCCCCCTTGAAATTTTCAATGCTTTTTTGTTGAGTGCGTAAAATTTTAAAACCTTGGATACCATGATGTCGGCAATGGCTGCCTTTGTTGATAGTAAGTTCAACCATTTGTTCAAAACAAATAACGATTTCGATAACTAATTTTGCCAGATTTTCATCAGGATATAAATCGAATCCACTTGTCCATAGAGAACTGAGCCGTGGAAGAGATTTGGATAATATAGAAATGTTGATCAATTTGGATAGATTGATATGTCCTAGAAAGAGAGCAATAGAGATTTCAACTTTACAATAAGTTCTAGACACTGACACAATGTAATCCATCTCCAAAACAAAACTTAGAACTTCGTATTTTAAATAGGACAATAGTCTATGTAGAAATCAGGTTCTATGAAAAATGATGGACCATTTGTCAAGGTTCCGATAAAGTTACGGGTGACCGCAAAAGTCTTATTGATCTAGTTAAGCATTCTCTCATTTTTTATTAATTTCATCATCACAATATAAGAAGCACTTCAATAATTGGACTAGTAAGTTGAGTTATAATAAGAAAATGATATGAGAAAATTCTGTTACTTGTTCAACTTTTCATATGTAAAAAAAAAAGGCATCAACATATATTCTAGGTATATGTAGAGATTCCTATCGGTATAACAACACTTTCTCTAAAGTAGGACTCAAACGGTTTCACATAGGTTCAGCTCACGGGAACTGGAACTCTTACAGTCCTACTCTAAAGTGTAAGAATAGTTTACTGAGATGTATATCTACTTTCGTCAAGTGTGTTTCACTACTTTTTCAAAGCAGTAACAGCTATTATTTACCACGTCCATTATAATGGTGCAAATGCAAATGACGCAAATGGAAAAGAGGTGAAAGAGTGAAGTGTCCACTGGCAAAAGTCGAATCGATGCTCATAACATAATCCCAATTAATAGTTAATTTGACAAGCTGTGGTATTGCTGAAAGAAGTATGTGAAGAAAAGAATGTTGTTGTGATAAAAGAAGAAATCTTTCTTCGTTCTCGGTTTCGAAGAAAGACAGCGACCGAAGTTTATCCAATCGAAGTTGATTAAAACACGACGAAAACACGATCAGTTTTGCAGAAGTCTGAAAATAAAAGAATACATCAGTATCAATATTGAATTTTAGTACATAACGGATCTCTTTAAAAAAAACACTATAATTTCTCTTCAAATAACGCAATACTTTTCTTTTTGAAACGTTCCCAGTTAGAGTCCTCCAGCTCCAAAATTTTTTAGATCCGAATATGCGACGAGTGGAACCGTGCTTTTAATATTGTCAATGGAACTTTCTTATCCGAATCTGATAGTCATCGCGAAAATACGAGCAGCGTTTTTTTGATTTTTTTTGTATTCGCAACTAGTACATCTTACACATGTCTCAGACCATTCAGATGATGATTCTATAATAATCAAGTATAATTGTCTTGTACTTGTAATCAATAGCTTCTCACGAAAGAATGAAAATCTAGATGCAAACAATCTTATATGATTTCTTTTGTTTAATGACTATTTCATTGGTAACAGGATTGTTTTTATTTTTGACTAATTCATATTGACGAAAAACTAATTAAAACAGTATGAATCCATTGCTCAAGAAGGACGATATTGTTAGTTTAATAAAACAACATAACAGATAAGTTATATTTTATAAGCCAGAAAAACAAAAATAAATAACATTATTCAAGACTCAAGAGCTAAGGAAATTCGAAAAATATTCTTAAATGTATCAAATCTTTCCTTGGACTCGGATCAACGCTGAACTCGGTCGAGGTTCCGAATCACCCAATGAGCTCTACTCTCAGCGAATCTACGTCAATATGATGTAGTTTCTGCAAATATATTCTGAAGAACAGAAAACTATAAAATCAACAAGAAAAACACGTTCTTATGGCTAAATCATGAAGCTATATTTACCCTGTTTCAATACTACAAGTCAAAAATATATTCTATTATTTAACATGAGCATAGACTTGAAAACTTAAGTACAGATTTAACATAATTTTGTGTAATCGCGTTAGTTTCGAATATTGTTCAGTATTTCATTTTCTATATGCTTTCCATTGCTTTTACTCCATAAAAGTTTAAAAATTCTCCCAATAAACAAGGCTTACTACTTGCAACAGATGTAAATTTCGGAAATAAAGTATTGAAGTGCGTCCATTCTCTGAGAATTATCGCTAATTAAAGAACAAAAAAATCAAGGACAAAACGCCACTTCAAGTACTCAAAACAGTATATAGAGAATTGAAGCACGAACAGCTAAATTGTTGCTTTTTCTCCGCTTAGAAATCACATCTTAACGAACCGATCTCTTTATCTTGTTGGATTTACTTGGGTGCTTGCTCCGCGCTGAACCAAATTTGTCGGTGAATTCGATAGCGGGTTCCTTATAATTACATCTTTACTTCTTTTTTGGCGTAGACATATGTGGTTTTTCCCTAAATTTTATTTTTCTCATTGGCGCCTTTTTTTCAACCAATGAGAAAAATAAAACTTAGGTAAAATCCACGTTGATTATGTCGACGCCAAAAAAGAAGTAAAGATGTAATCATAAGGAACGCGCTGTCGGATTCATCGACAAATTTTGCATTTGGCGCCCAATTTTTGTCGAATTTGGTTCAGCGCGGAGCAAGCACCAAATTTTCTAATGGTGATAATGTTTATTATTGCGACAACGTATGAATTTAATTGACACCGTAACTGATAATGTAACAAATATCTGTTGTGGTGTTCTATGTTACAAATTAAATAATATCAGTACAACTGCACCACATGAAAGTCTTTTATTACCAGATGCTCAATATTATGTACGAAACAAATTAGCTGAAAGCTATAAAGAAGGTATAGTTTTGGTTTTTCTAATCAGCGGGTCCGTTATTACTTTCAGCATGTCACAACATATTTTAAACAGATAAAAATCATTGTGAACAGAAAAAGATCACATCTCTCCTTTAACTACATAGCATTTGATACCAGACTTTCTAACATACGATTTTTATTATGTTTTAGTTCCAAAAGATTTTACGTTTATCAATAAATGCATATCAAGATTCATTTATAATGTTAACCACTTAGGTGCTGTTCCATTGGAAACAAGCGATGGTATATTTATTAATTTAATCGAACAGCAAGTGTTCAATCGAATGAATGACAAGCTTTCAGATCACCGCCAAAGACGTTATAAAGTGGCGGACAAAATTTTAAGGCACCTTTTGCTTTTCATTTTTCTGCGTGAAAGATCACTCATTATCGACATCCGAATAGTGATTTGGATAGCTCTCAGAGCGTGCTACAAATCTGAAGTGATAAGAAAACTTAAGCTCAGCTGTTTTCGTTTTTGTGACAGAAATCGTTTTTGCCCAGCGGACAAAATTTTAAGGCACTTTTCGATATCTTTGCTTTATTTTCGTGAAATTCTACAGAAATACAATTTCTTTCACAAGAAGTGACCACCTTTCGCTTTTAAACACTTTCGTATTCGTTCTGGCATTGATTCGACCAACTTGATGCATAAATCGATATCAATGTTGTCCCATTCCTCCT